CTACAAAGCGGCACGTTTGTAATAAATGTGTCCTGTGTCATCTTTTGGGATGCCATAATAATAAAATAACATATTTAAACCACGATTATTTAAAAATGTTGAATTAAGAAGGCGCTAGTTATTATATAGTCTTGTCTCGAAGCTGTTTTTAAGGGCCAAGAAACAACAATGGCGGCGGCAGTGGAAACATCTTGCTCAGAGTTTCTGAACTGGGATGTTGAAAGTTCAGTTTGTAACGAATTAAAACAAGAGAAACAGCTGTCTGCCTCGCAAAGAAGATTTTACAGCTTCTGTAGGAGGAAGGTGAGAATATACTATCTGCAGCTTCTTCAACAAATAATTTGTTGTGCTTATAGCTACAAAACTCTGTTTCTAGTTATTCCTCCCATTTAAGAAAGGAATACCTCCAGATAACAATTGGCACATTTCTTTAAAACCTGAAGCGGAATTTATATACACATTAAAATGTTTGATTTTGAGGAGCTTTAATTTTGAAAGTCCCCATCAGATCTCGAAGTGTTTTTAGACATAAAAGTGACAAATATTAGAATCTTATATCCAGATATTAAGGCTTATCCTCATGCATTTCATTGATGTACTTATTCAGATCTTTTAAAATGTATAAAATTGTTTTGTTTGTTATTATTATGATTAACTTTTTAAAGAAAAAGGCAAAAAAAAAACAAAAAAAAAAAAACACATTTGGCTCACTATAAAACGTTTACCCCTGACTCCAGATCCAGTTACCAGCTGCTTAACCACACTGATCTTCAAGGATTTCATTTTTTAAAAACATTTCCTATGTCACATTTTTCTCTCCTTCGCAGTCATTTGCTGTCTTCGTAGCATCCGTGCAGAATGGTTGTCAAGACAAAGGAACCGAGTCCTGGTGCTGCTGTGGCCAGACCTTCAGCGAACACTCTGCCATCCACAAACATGTGGCTAAAAGTCATAATTCTGAAGTACAGCAGCTCACTGAGGCTGCGTATGAGCATCTACTAAAACAGCTGGAACAAGAGGCTGAGCCGCCAAAGGAATGCAAAGCCGAAGTAGCGGACATTTCTGCGTGGATACCAGATATCAGCCAAGTCTCTGAGGAGAACCTGAGAAAGTAAACGGATATTAGATATTCTCCTGTTTGCTGCAGTTTTAACGCTATCTGTCATTTTAGATTTTATCCATGTTTATCTCTTGTTTACATGTAGCGGCCCTGGAAAAGTTCTCCTTTATTATCATTACTGTCTACTGGATGATCCCCATGTTATCTGTGCTTGGCAGAAAGCTTTATGTGAAAAGCTGCACTTAACAGGAAAGGTGAATGAACTCTATCACTGTACTGCTGAATGTTAAAATACTGAAAAAAGAGAAATAATTCATGAAATTAAAGTTTTTTTAAAAATGTATTGGTCATTTTTTTCAGATAAGGGTGGCAGCAGAAGGCATCAATGGGACAGTTGGAGGGACCCATGTGGCCACTGATATTTATATCAGTGCAATGCTCTCACATCCTGTCTTCAAGATGGAAAAAGAAGATTTTAAGGTCAGAAGCAGATGGAAAAACAGTTGTCCTTTAGGACTTTGTTTTGTTAATTAAACCTTTAGCCTTGCAGATTAGTAGAAATATTTGTAATATTTCTCTCCTTGGTGTTTGTCTAGACCAGCGATGGAGGTGCTGAGTGTTTTACAGACTTAAAGGTTGGAGTCTTTAAGGAGATTGTCCCAATGGGAGTGGATCCTGATGCTGTGTCCTACAAGCTGGCAGGTACTGATACGTTCTACTAATTTTACTTCTATAATTCTGCTGCTGCTATATATAAACTATAATTATCATAGGAAACTCTACTGTTCATTAGAGAAGCTTTTTCACTGTCAGCTTTTACAACTCATCTTCAAACCCTTATCAAGAGTTACTTTTACTGTTATATATTTTTATTATGTAATTATTTCCAGTACTTACTTTCAGATACTTTATAAATATAGCTGGTATGATAAATAACACATGCATTATTTCTTAAAGAAAGTAGCTTAGTAATTTAAGTGATTTAATCAATATTTATCCCAGCTTTCTGAATGTGTCAAAGTTTACCTTTGGACATTAGCTACATATGTTTGTTTGTTTGATTTTATGACCTCAGGGTCATAAAAAAAATGTTGATATGCTGACAAATTTTAAAAAATTTTCAGTTGGGAAAAAAACCTTTATTGTAAGAATGAGAGGACGAAAAAGAGTAAAAATGGAACCGGCCTGCTTTGTTATTCTAGCACGTAAAATTCTTGTAAATTCTCATCAACATGATATTCTTTAATTGTCTTTTCTTTGCCAGTTTCACTTATATGCATTCAATCAGTTGGAACATAACAACTGGTTCTTCTCTACGTTTTCTCTTATGTGTGGAAAGAACACTGGCTCATCCCTGAAATTTATGTCTATTTTTATGCCCAATTAATTCAAACTTGCAGATTAATTATAATATCAAACAAAAAAAATCTCTGAAAATAGTTAGTTACTGGATGGAAGATGAGTGGAAACTGCTAAATGTCTGTTTGGCCTCCCAGGAACTCATCTGGACCCTGAAGAGTTTCATAAGGAAGTGGAAGCTCTTTTGGCTAACAGAGATTCTAGCAACGACACCATCCTCCTCGACTGCCGCAACTTTTACGAGAGCAAAATTGTAAGTATTGATAGTTCTAATTACAAGGCATACTGAGCAGAAAATTAGTTGAAAACAATAACGTGTGTGTGGTTGTTCTGGTTATTTCCCTCAGGGCCAGTTCACTCGGTGTCTGGCCCCAAACATCCGTAAGTTCAGTTATTTCCCAGACTACATCGACCAGAACCTGGAGCTGTTCCGGAACAAAAAGGTTCTGATGTACTGCACAGGAGGGATCCGCTGTGAACGTGGATCTGCCTACCTCCGCTCTAAAGTAAGCCAAGTTTTACTTAAAACTTCCCTGAGGAGTTTTAGTGATTGTTTTTGGTTGTTATGTTTAATTTTGGGTTTGAATACGTTTCCCAGTGTTAAGTGTTTCTTTGAGAGGATGAACTTTCATTATTATGCCATAATCAATGTATTACTTGAAAATTATCTGAAAACAATATTTTCATTTATCACAATAATTACTGGGACAATTTATTGTCCACTGTCATGCAGACTTGGTGCTAACTCTCCTGAAGCTCATTTTTCTCCTTTACAGAAGATGTTTCTGTTTAATAGAAATTAATGTTTTAAACGTTTTCCATGTTTCATTATAAGTTTTTGTTCTTATCTAACCTGTAAATCTACTATGTTGCAGGATGTGTGTAAAGAGGTTTACCAGCTGAAAGGGGGAATCCATAAGTACCTGGAGCGTTTCCCTGAAGGTTTCTATCGAGGGAAACTTTTTGTGTTTGATGAACGCTACACCATCTCCTCCAACAATGATGTCATCGCAGGTTGGTGTGTTAATTAAAGTATACTGCTTGTACCTTAAGTGCAAACTTAAAGAAAACCATGTACTGTCAGGAAGTTAGTAATTTTCCATTGCAGTTTTTAAGCCTTGGTGTCTGTAATTAGATTGCAGGTATTGCAGCCTTCCATGGGACCAGTATGAGCTTTGCAGCACCCAGTTCTGCTGCCAGCTGGTGTTGTCCTGTCCCAGCTGCAGAAAGAAAGGACGCACCGCCTGCTGCCCGTCCTGCCAAAGGAAAGGAGAGACCCAAGACAAGGAGGCCTCTGATGTTCAGCATCCCAAAGAAGAGTGCGAGTGCACCGACACACGGGCCAGAATCCCTCAGGATGTTTAACAACATAAGATTGTTAAACATTTAAAGTGTCTTAATTAATTAATGAAATGATTACTATGAAAAATCCTGAGCAAACTTATACAATTTTTTATAAGAATGTTGAAAATGAAATAAGAAACAACTAAATATATCAATTACTGAAACCTTTTAATCAACATCTAATGAGAAATCTTAAGCATACCTCCTGGATCTATGAAGTGTATCCTTATTTTATGATGTAAATATTAGGAATATAGATTCAGTAATTAAAAATTTTCAGATGTGTTTTGCTTTTTTCCCCTCCATTTTGTTTTCATATTGCAGCTCTGGATAAACAATATTTAAGTACAAACCAGTAATAATTGATAAGGCTCTTTAACAAAAAATATGCAGAATATTCCACATGCACTGTGTGCAATGGAAGCCTTGCAGACGCTTATTGTGTCAGTTAGGGAAGCTGCAGGTGTTTCATAAACAAACCACAACCAGGAATGCATGATTGCGACATGCAGCTTAGAAATTCACTTTTTTAAGCCAAATCAAGTAAGGGATAACATTTTTTTATTGAAGTGTTGAACTTAATTTTGCATATTGTGTATTGTCAGTTTAATGTAGAGGAATGAGATTACCTTTCTGAGCAACTAGTGCTAAAATAAACTGACAGTAAACTAAAGGTGGTTGTAAAGGTGGTTGAACTTTTTAAAATGCAATAACAGCTGGTTACTGTTCATGTTTTCCTTTTAGAAGATGAGAGCATGTAGACAGAGAAATAGACTGTGAATGAAGTGTTTATTTTCTCTGCCATAGAGATTGTATAATACATATAAAAGAGACATTGCTGAAATAGAAAAAGTGAATGAAAGGAAAGTTATGACTTTATTCATATAAAATGTAAAAGCTAAAAATATTTCTGTTTCATTATTTAACCAAAAGTCAAAGATTGGAGGAAAGGTCCATTAATTTACAAAACAGATTTGTTTTAAATCTTTAATTTTAATTATTTTCTCAGATTTCTGTAACTATCAGAAAAGCTTTAGCAGCCACAAGAATTACATCTATTAAATCTACAACCTTTGAGATGAAAATGTATTTAGTTTTATATTTTTAAATGTTACAACTGTTTAGCAAAAATTATGACAGAAAAACTGTGGCCCAGCCATAAAGGAAAACCCCCAAAAATGATTCAAAAGCATTTCATAGTAGCATCTTACATGTGCTTCCTCTTTTTGTTCAGATTTAGACAAAAAAAAATGACACTAAGCGTTTTTTTGGATCTTATGGTGAGAGGTGCGCCAGCTGTTTATTTTAAACTCCTTTTTTCCTGGAAATTAATTTGCATATCAAGACTTATGAAAGTATTTGTTAAGCAAATGGAAATTAAAAATTCATGGGACAGTGTACAGGAAAAAAAAAGTTGCTAATCTGGTCTAATTTCGTGCGTGGATATTTTAAAGCTACTATGTTTAAATGTTTTATTAAACATGATCAATGAATGAATCCCCAACCTGTTATGTGAAAAAATAAACACTTGCATAGCAACTCCAGCAGAGGGAGTGACATGAACGCTAGCAGGTGTCAGCTAAGCTCCTAAGCATCCTCACTAGTTGAGCGGACCTCCCTGGCTTCGCTGTCCGGGTCTTCAACGACCATCAGCGGTTGCCGCTTCTGTCGCGGGTAGGGGGTAACCAGGTTTTGAGACACGGATGCTCATGTGTGTTCACTCACCCTTGTGTTTCCGGACGTGAGAACGGGAGGACCGCGCGATGTCTGCGCCGGGGTTCACAAACCTCGACAGTTCTTCTGCGGGATACAACCAGAACCCAACGTCGAACGGTGGAGCTGCGCCCCCCTGTCAGAACGGTAACAGGCCGGGAGGATGCGATTAGCTAGCCTGCTGGTGTTAGCATGTTAACGCCGTTGAGGCTTGTTTTTTTGTACTCTGCCTTCTGTTTCTTCTTTTTGCGTTTCATTTCGCCACTGTTACTTTGAATTGATTTGAGTTGATTTAAAAGAGGAAACCATTTTTTTTTTATTGGTGAGAAGTGATGATTTCATCTCGCGGTAAAGCTAAGTGCTAAAACCTGCTAGCTCGAAGCTAATGCAGTCCAATTGAGATAACGGGGTTGAAGTTAGCCAAGTGTTAGCAAGTGAGACAGATTGTGCACAATCATTTCACTCTTAATAGCAAAAGTCCCCAAAACAACTATTAATTTAAAATTGCACGACTAGGTTTTACATTTATTTTTATGTTGTCTGATGAGTGCGTATTTAAAATGCGACAAGCCCTGACTGCTGATGTGATTTATTAAATGTTTAGCAGATATAAGAAAATGAGGTAAAACTTTAGCTAATTTTAGAGATAAATCGCTGTGCTGTGTTTACACATGTATGAACTTTAACTTTATGGATTCATCTTTTATTGCTAATCTGAAAGATAAAGAAAGTTTGATACTTTTGAGCCCAAATGATTTTTCTATTCCTTTTTCTGATAAAAGAATAAACACTGCTACCCACAAGACTGTACGGTGCCATTAGGTTTGCAGTTCTACAAATAACAAAGGTAACAAAGTATGAAGAACCAAAAAAGTAAAGTATTAAATCTTAGAGGGTCTTATGTAAGATAAAACAGTGACAGATGGTGAAAGATCTGTGCCAGAGAAACAGCGATACTGTTCATAAATATGTCTGTTTATAAACGGCTGTGTAACAACGTACATTTCTGTATATGATTGAGTTTTATAGGTTTACATTAGCTTGTTAACACTGTAATATAGATGGGATTTGAAATGAGAGAATAAATCACGGATATATATATATATATATATATATATATATATATATATATATATATATATGCAGAGTGCTGTAATTATTGTAAATTATAGTTGCAGTTTTAAGTATAGTATAATTTAGTGTTTAGATCAGACTTGTTAGTGTGCAGCAGACTTTGTAAGATGTACATGGTGGTCCTGATGTGTGCAGTCTGGTTGTTTCTTGAGGCGCTTTCAAGTGCTGCAACCTGAGTCCAGGTGATTTTATTTTATGTTTGTTCACTTGGGATGACAGTTGGAGTGCTTTCCTGTCTGCTGTAGTGAAGCTGAGGTACCATGATGATTAGACGCCGAGGGATGTGAGCGTACTCTCACTCGAGAACCTGCGAAAGGCTACCAACATCTCTTGTGGGATTCGGGGCTTTCCTCAGGGTTATTCAGAAATAAATCAAATTTGGAAACTTATGGCAACAGGAAGAAGCTGAACATGGCTACTGTTGCACTTGAAACATCAATTTGATTGACAATTTAAATGTTTACTTGAAGGGTTTTCTATGTAATTATGTGAGTTTTTAATCTGTTTACATACATAAGAACATCTGAAGCTGTTTAACACATTTCAGTAATAAGGTGCTTTACATCATAAAAACATCATACAGTCACCAATTATAAAACAAGCACTAACCATTACATTTTGTCAAATGCCATAATCAAAATACATATAAAATAAATACTCAATGTTCTACTTACTATAGATTAAAAGTGACTCCAAACACGTGGATTTTTAATATTGATTTAAAGAAACTGTTTCCGCAGTATTATGGAAGTATAGAAATGCATGGAAGCTGAATGTTGCTTCTCCATGTTTAATTCTGGTTCTGGGGATGCAAAGTAGACCTCAGTGGTCTGACAGGTTGATACAACAACAGCTTTTAATGTACTGTGGTGCTAAATCGTTCAGTGACTTATAAACTAAGAACAGTATTTTAAAGTCTGTTCTCTGAGCTACAAGGAGCCAGTATGCGGACTTTAGAACTGCTATATCCTCCTGGTTTTAGTGAGAATGCGGACAGCAGTCAGTGCAACTAAACGCATGGAGGAGTTTCTCTAGATCTTGCTGAGTCATTAGTCATTTAATCCTAGAAATGTTCTTCAGGCGATAAAAGGCTGACTTTGTAACTGTCTTTATGTGACTCTGAAGGCTCATTCAGATGTCAGGCCTGAAAGGTGAACCACCTTTTTTGACGTCTGTTCTCTTTCACTCCAGGTCCACTACCAACCCACCCATCCATGTACCCTCCTGCAGGTTACTATGGCGTCCCGCCTCCACAGCAGAGCTACCCCTCCATCCCCAGCCACGCTACTTCCGCTCCCAGCAAAGCATCAATCACAAGCAGTGCCCACAGTCAGAACTACTACCAAAAGAACCACCAACAACAGCAGCAGCAGCAGCAAACACAACTCCCTCAGCATCAAGTAGCACCGTCTCCATACTCTGCTCCGCCGCCCTCTCAGCCGTACGCCACCCTCCCATCTTTAGCACCTCCACCTTCAAATGCCCAGTTCAACCAACAGGCATTCCAGCAGCAGCATACACTCTACACCACTCCAGGGTCCTACTATGGTCAGCAATCATACAGAGCATCTCCAGCACACCCCCGCCATCATCATCATCACCACCATCAGCAGCAGCAGCATCCTAGTTTTGTTTCATCGCCAGCTGCCGCTCCCGTCTACCCAGATGTTTCATACCCATCTGCCCCAGCGAGCAGCCAGTATGCCCCCCACACTTCCTCCAACACCTCCACTCCTGGAGTCATGTCCACCCAGATGGGCGCGCCCTTGCATCAGTTCAGCGCTCTGCCTCCAGCCTCGACGGCGGTGCAGCCGGGGTATGGCACGGGGCATCAAACGGCAGCGACAGTGAATGGCAAAGGAAGCACAGGTATGCCAGGCAGAAAGCTTCATCATGTGGGTTGTTGCTGTTTCTCTCCGCCAATTAACATGACACCATGGCAATATGGAAAAAACATATTTTTTTATGAAGGTTACATTCTGAGATTTAATATTTATTTTTTGTTTACAATGCTAAAGTTTTTGGTTTTGCTTATGCTCTCTAATTGCATGTGAACATTTACCATTTTTCAGATTTATTTTATTTTTTCCACCAAATCTCTTTGACCGCAACAAATTTGTTGCAGGTTCAGGGTGTTTCACTTTGGACCAAATTGTGACAGCTGATTGGTCAGTTGTTGCCTAATCCACTCAATTAATTGACAGATGGTGTCTTGCCAATTTCCGACTCCTATCTAATTCTAGTTTCCAAATCCTAATGGTTCTGTCTTAGATTAGTCGTCCTATAACCATATTCTTTGTTTTTCTGTTAGAAGCTGCAGTTCAAAACAACATCCACCAACACTATGACCAAAGCCATCAGGCCCCTCACAACTACAACTCCTACAGCGGGGTGACACAAAGCAGTGGAGGTGCGGATGGAGACCGGCCGCCCTCAGGAACCCCCTCCGCTTCAGTCCATTCCTCCCCAAGCCACCACCAAAGTAAATAAAGGCTTCTTTTTCTGTTTCATATTGAAAAATGGTAGACATCTGCCTGTTTATTTACAAAAGTGCAAAGATGGAGCTTCACAAACAAGATGCATGTTTGTGTTTGAAGATCTTTTGCTCACAGAAGGGATTACGTATCATTTCTTTATATCTTCTGGTAGGGCTGGGGAATAAATCAATTAATCAGATTTTTGAAATTTTTGGTATTTTTTGATATATCCTTTGAAATAAATATATTTTGAAGATTTAATTTGTTAAAAATCAAGATTCAAAATCATGATTTTCTGATCTGGTATAAAAAGATCTGAGACTTTATTTTATCGCCCAGCCCTATCTTCTGGCGTTTCTGTCTTGTTTCTTTTAGCTCAGCTCTGACAGTGAAACCTGCGTTAAGCCAACGTGGAAAGGTGTATGAAAGGTTAAGATGATCACAGCTGCACTTTCAGTGCAGCACACATGTAATCTGCTGTGCACACCAAACGCTTTCAGACGTGCAGGTGTCTGAGCCTCGATGCAAATCTTTAGTGTCTGAAATGTGCTGCTAGTTTATTTATGTCTGATCCATAATTTTCTCTGCTGATACTATCAGTAGTACAGCAGAAAACCTGCACCAGTTGCACTTGTTTTCTTTTTTAGTTTCTGAAACCCCACCTGCACAACCTCAGACTTTAGAAAGAGGGCTGTTTATTTGCACAATTATTTCAGGTTGTTTCAGTAATACAGTTTGTGTACAATCATGTACTTGGATATCAAATTGAGTTCTGGTTTTTAATATTTGATATACTTTTTACTGCATATTTGACCATTCTTCATTTAATTTGGCAGGTTTCCTCTCAGCTTCATTTTTTTTTTCACTCAACACTGATGTCTGGGCCGTTCTTTACATTTAATGTTAGCTTGGTTCCACATTATTTGTCTGTTTTAGATCATTGTTTTCTTCTGATTCAAACTATCAGCCTTACAAAAGAAAATTGGATAACAGGGTAAGAAATAACAACAGAAATGACGTTTTCCTCTTGCTTGTGTTATATAAAGAAAACTAATAAATGTTTTTCATCTGTGATTTTTTAAGTGTATTTTGCCTCATAATTGGGGAGGACCTCTTTCTTTTAATTGTCATTTTGCCGTTCTGTTAACTCTGGTTTTGTTGGGCTGGACATTAAATCAATAATAATAATACATATTCCAATAGAGATGTGATCATTATCTATAGATAATACGTCAGATAGAATATTCAATAAATAGACTATTCACTGAACTCTGAACCTTAACAGTACAGCATTCTGGGGGATGTGGGGCAAAAAATATAAAAGATCAGTGGAATCAACAGACTTACACATTCTTTGGTTACCTAGCAACTCACTCTTTCTTTGGTTACCTAGCAACAACTTGCAGAATAACTGCTGCAGCAGCAGTTGAATGTTTCACTGTCCCTTATAACTGCTTAAAAATAAAAAAACAACGCCATGGAGTGAAAACTGTGGCTAAAACAGAAAAACTCACACTAGAAGTTAAAAATTATTTCAGATATTTAAAACAAATAAACTTAACAATTATGAATATCGACTGATGTGAAATGCTTTTAATTTTTTGTGTTAATTTTTTCAGCCGTATTGTCCAGCCCTAGATATAAGCAAAAAAGTCGACTACAGTTTGTTTTAGAAATTCTTAGATCATATTATTCAGAAAAAAACAACAGTGAATGGTTTGGGGTTTTAATTCTTCTAAAGGTAAGAGCAGTTTTGTTCCATACTGAAGGAAAAGCAGATTGTTTTCCTAAACATTACACACACACACACACACACCGAGCCCCTCTGCTGTTAGTCGCTCAGTCAGTCCTGATAGTTTTCTGATGATCCTCTCCCGATCCCCCTTCCAACAGGCCTGCGGTACGGATATGTTGCTAATAGTGGAGCTAGCTCAGCCTCTGCCACCACCTCAGGCGCAGCTGCAGCCCCCTCGTCATCCAGCACTGATGATGATGATGAGGAGGAGGATGAGGATGAGGAAGCAGGTCTGCTTTAGCTTTTACCTCCCAACTTCACCCATCTCCCATCTGTTTCTTTCTTCATCCCCATAGACTCATGCAGCTTCTTTAAGCATCACCATTCCCTGAAATGTCCTGTCATGTACACGGTTCTGTTCCTCTGAGTAAATTGTCTTATACAAGCAAATCCTCTCTAATCAGTTTATTGACTAATCAGATTCCTCCTTCTTCGTCTAAATCAACAGTTCTCATACTTTATGCAAACTTATTCTTTGAAATATAATCTTTATGTTGCTTGTATTATTTTTCCTTTTAGAAAGGTCACAAAAAATGTAAAATCTGCAATTTTGAAGCTGTTGGGATGTAAAGATTTAGGTTGGGTTGATAATAATTTATTGTAATAATCGTCAACTAATTTAGTAATCGATTGTTAAGTGGAGTTAAAAAAAAGCTTTTTGCTGAAAGAAAAACACACTCAGAACAGGAATTAAGCCAAAATTGTGGGGAAAAAAATCTACATTTTGCATTTAAGATAAAGAAAAAAATTCTGCAAATATGTTTAGCCCAGATCTCCTGAAGTGATAGTTTTAGCTTTAGCTTAACCTAATTTAAATTCTGTAAAAATTACAAATGTATCAAAATATTAAACAAATGATCAAGCACACAATTAGCCTAATACAATTAGGCTATAAAATATCTGTTTTCTTATTTTAAAAAGGAAGTGAATTATTTATTTGCATCTTTTAATCTATTTCTAATATTGTATAAAAAGGCTTAAGTCACTAGGTGAAAAACAAAGACAAAATAGGTGCAACATTGTCTTTGTTCTTTAATTTTTTTTTTTTTCCTTAGTGCATCCCTAAGAATCCATTGTGTAAAACTAATTATTTAGTCTATTAGTGTTTTCAGTGAGCTTTGGTCATGAGCTGCATCGTGTTGCATTAAGTATGCAGAATGTTTACAGCGTATATGCAACAGTTGACCTCTGAACTAACAGTGTTTTACATCATTCATGGTCGACTGGAAACCGCGGTTTAAATGCTGCTGCTGCTGCTACAACAATCTTTCATTTTCATGTTTTCCATTTATGCTCAAATGTCATTTATGTATTTGGATTTGAAATGCAAACAATTAACTTGTGTTAGAAGTAAGTCAATAGTTTTTCTGTAATTTCCATAATGTCGTGTATTTGCATTGTTGTCCAGTACTGAGTCATACAGAAACATGTTGTTTTTTTTAAAAGGAATAAGAAAATATTAGATTTTTATTCTTGTGCTTGAGTTGACCTAGATTATTAATGATTTTCTCAATATTTTATTTGGAAATCTCTTACTTTTTTATATATATATATATATATATATATATATATATATATATATATATATATATATATATATATATATATGTATGTATTTTTTTTGTTTTTGTTTATTGATTATTTTTTTTCCTGTTTACATAATATTTAATATGAAATCCTCTGGACTGCAAATCCTAAAATCAGTACCAACCTATAATGTTTAAGAAATACTGTTGTATTCCTGAATTTATGCATGTTAGGGATGTAAATGGTGCGGTTAGTCGGTCTTTCTGGTGTTCTCCCTGTTACAACTCCTCTGGAGCTTTATCAGCCAGAGGTTAACATGTGTTTAAATATAGCCTCTTTCTCAGCTTGTTTACTGACTGTCTTGTTCCTCACTGGAGAGTCTGGTTAGCAGGCGTTGGCATGTCCCGTAATAAAAAGCTGAGCTTGTTTTAGCTTCCCGTTTGTCCCCAATGATTTACTCCGATCCTCTCGGTTCAACACGCTTTGTGTCTTTATGCAAAACATCAGTTCGTCTCTCTAAATTAAGCTAATCAGAGAGGAAAATATTCTACCATATCAATCATATCAATATTTTTTTTTATTTTAAAACAGCTCTCAGCAGAAAATATTGAAATTGTTGTTTTGTGTTAAATTATAGGGGAAATATTTTTAGTCTTTATTTTGAGAGAGTTTAGATAACTTGTTTTGGACAAAGTTGGCACAAAATATATAAACATGATCTAGTATTCTTTTTGTTTTGTTTGCTAAAATAGTTTAAGTTTGTAAAATCAAATCAATTCATTAATGTTTCTATGAACTTTTGGTTGGAAAGTTAACTTCTATAAAATTTTTCAAACATTGACTCTTGTTTGTCAATGTTTGACAATTAATGAAAAAAGATAAAAATGAATTGCCTTCCTAAAATAATGATGCAAGTCCATTTTTTTCTACAACAGCTTTTTTTTTGTAAAGCTGCTGAAAACAACCCCCAAAAATGTGAACCTGTCGGTCAAGGGATTGGATCCAGATGTGCCAATACTTTTCAGAAAAACCCCCCACTATTACTAACCTCCCTCTTTACAATATTGCATTATTTCCTGTTGATTTACTACATAAAATCCTAACAAAATACATTGTAGGTTGAGTTTGCAATGGAAAGAAAATAATGTGGTTTTTCTTGACGTTAAAAGCCAAATCCAGTGTTTCTTTGTTTGCAGAATCTGTATGATTTAAAAAATAAATCTATTTTTTTCTTTTATTAGTCTGTACTGCTTTAGCACATGTTGCTTCCTGCAGTGCAGATTCTGTGAATCTTTCTTCTCAGCACTGACTGTAGATAATTAGATTAATGTGACTTTTAGAAGCACATTGAAACACTTTGAAAAGAGTTTTTATCATGAATAATCTCTGATGCTGCATGAGAAGAGATTTGCCACTGAGCTGAACGTTGTAGGAAGAGGCGTAACAAGTGTCTCTGAGAATGCTTAGCTGTCCGCCTCTCTCAGAGCTCATAATCCCGGCGTCTGCTGCTCAGATTTACTGCTAGATAATTGGATCCGGTTCTGTCCAATGAGCTCCCAGCATCAGGCCTGCTGTGTGTTGGTTTGCTCCTGATCTCTCCCTTTGACCCACATGGATTAATGGCTTCATTCAAATATTCTGTCCACCTAATCCTTATGGAAATCCTGCCCAGAGTTGGACATGCGTTGGGGAAACGTGTGTACTCTGTTTGCACTCAATAAAATTATATTTGAGCATTTTGTTCTCTATGAATATTAAAGTGGAGGACAAAAAGAAAAGGAATTTACAGTTAAAATTCCTGGTAAACAAAATTTACATAAGTTGTTTAGATTTAGGTTTTGTAGAGACAAATTTTTGAAAAACATCAGCAATATGATCAGATTTATAAGTTTGGATCATAAATTTTGAAGGGCTGGGAGTTTAACATGTTAATTTTGATTAATTAATCACCCATATAATTCCACATATCATTAATCAAATTAATAGAATTTTAATGTAAATAATCACCTCTATTTAATTTATTACACACAAAAGTTCCAGCAGGAACCTTTCTATTCATTTGTTTCCAGTACGCCTGTGAATCTGATGCACAAGCGACATCCGCAAACAGCTGAATGGACATAACAGCTCTTTGCACCACTCTGATGGTTGAATAGCCTGAATAACAGATTAAAAACAATAAATATATTTGTTGTTGAGCTCATATGTCTATTTGTTAAACAAAAGTGTTTGATTAAAAAATGTTTACTTAAGCTTTTCAATTAAAATGTGATTAATTACTTACAAATGCTTCAGTTAACTTGATTAAAAATTATAATAAGGCTCATAACTAAAATTTGATTGGATTAAGAACTTTATTGTCTGACTTTTCTGTTTGTTCATCCAGAAAAATGACTTCATCATCACTACAAGCTGCATAAAAAGCCCTGTATGCCTAATCCACGTCCATGTTTCATCTAATTACTTTAATTCAGTTAAATTAATTTAGTACCAGCTCACAACAAACATAATCTGAAGACATTCTACAACATGGAAACAGGTTCAGTTCACATCCAGAAAATGAATAACGGGATTCAGAAAAGTTCAGAAACACACAAAAAATTAAATGACATCATTTACTCCATATACATTTAAATGATCAGTGTAAAACTTTTCTGTAAAATAACAACGCAAATCAAGTTTGATTTTGATTCTGTCTAAAATCGGCGTCTAATTGTTTTTTGTATATAAACCAATCAGAAACTCTCGTCTGCGGTCACTAGGCAGAGTTTGTCTATGATGAGTCAAACTTGCTGCAGATTATTATTTTTCTGTTTTTTAAAGAGATTAAACCATAAAAAGTCTTATGTCGCTTAAAAAAAACTGAACGTTATTGTTTTTCAGTTCTGTATTCATTGGCCTTTTTTAGCACTTTAAAGGGATTAATGTGGTTTTCTGAGTGTGGTACACGTCTGGTGCTGGGAGAAACCTCTGTTTCTGTTTCTCTCTACGTTTTTCCAATCCTCTGAAGCCTCTGCTTCCCACGAAACAACATCAGCACAACGACTCCTTCAGGATTTAAAGACAGGCTTTCATGTTTGCTTCAAGCTGCTCCTCTGGCTCTTCTCACTCTGTTTCTCAGAGGCCTGAGGGAGTTAAAGTATTACATTCACCAAACAAAAATCCACACTTTGATTTCTTTGATTTTCCACTTTTGCTTCCCATTGACTTATTTTTATTTATCTCTACCTGCTACTGACACTTGAAGGTCTTTAATGTTCTCTCAACATGGATTTAATGTCTTGTTTTAACCGTGTTTGTTGTTTCTTTGTTCTCTTTCACCCCAGTACTCTTGGTCCCTCCTGGATGATATTTATATAAATGTTTTAAATCCTTCCTACCTGTTTTTTTGTCTCTCTCAGGGGGCGACACTTCCTCCTCCAGTACCGGCAGCGCCTCTCCAGTTCCCAACAACTATGATTCCCTCGAAGGCGGCAGCTATCCAGGTACATCGTCACCACAAACTGCATTTCCAGTGACTTTAAAATTACACAAATTGGAATTGTGAAAATAAGTTTGCTTAATGAAAACACGCCAACGTAGGAAAAAAACATGATTTTTTTTTTTTTTTGCTGGGGGGAAGTGGTTTTTCAGCTGCATTGAAATTATTTTATTATTTTGCAAAACTGCAATGGAAATTTTTTTTCATCAAATGAGTCACATGATCAACAACCAGCAAGAAGATGGCAGGACGTTGTAGGAGAATGATGGTGCGGTGTGTTTTTAGTGATTTATTGTGAGAACAAACTTCATTTCATATCACATATAAGAGATTGTTTTTCCCCAACATTAACGAAATCGACACAGTTTTATGCACTTTTACAGACGAGATGAATATGAAAACTAAAAACTGGAGAGTACACAATTTATTATTATTATTAAAATTTCAGATTTTTGTATGATTTTTGTCCATGTTGACTATATTTTAACTTTCTAAGCTTGTTAGGGAGGCACAGATATGAAAATTTAGGTCAATATTTACTAGTGATATTAAACAAACTGATTTTGGAATAAACTTACAGAAAACTGCAAAGCAGCCGAAACACTGAGTTCCTTTAAATAAAGGCTTAAAACTCACCTGTTTAGAGCTGCCTGTGATTAACAGTGAGTGAAACATTGATCAACATTTGACAGAATGTAATGTTTGTTTCATAATTGATGACTGTGTTATTTTAAGATGCACTTTGAATTTCCTTTTTACTGAAATACACTATGAAAATGAACTTGACTTGAGTTAATTCTGCTGTTATGACAGTATTCATCAATATTTTATTTCATTTTATCTGATCGAATAATTGACAGATTACTTGATTACTAAGCTAATTGTTTACAACAGCCCTAATGTTGAGTAGTCGTAAAGAGGAGATTGAATGAGTTACACTTTTTAAATTAAATTAAACATCCCACCTTCCTAAAGTGGCATAGTTAAAATAAAATACCAAAACACTGAAATATTCCTGTTTTAATGATGATATCGATGCTGAAATGTCTTTTGCACAGATTCCATGCCGCCCTCCAACAACATGACCAATCAGGCTCCGCCCTTTGGTAGCTATGGTTACCACGGCATGCAGTCAGCCTATCAGCACGGACAAGCCCCCCGCCCCGATGCTTCCCCGTCCCACAGCGTGTACAGTCAGCCGGGTTACCAGCAGTACTCCCAGGTGACAGAACAGAGCTGCTGTGCAGAAAGAAACTTTTTATTTTTTGTTTTTTAACCGTTTCTTCTTCTGCAGCCTTTCCCCAACCTGTCCCAGCTCTCTGCAGCTCTGGGCGGGTTGAGCGGCGTCCCAGAGCTCGAGATGGAGGCCCTCAGGCCGGTCAACCTGCTGCAGGAGAGGAACCTGCTCCCTTCCAGGCCCTTGGAGGCTCCTGAGCCGAACCTCAGCCCCGATCTGAAGAAGGTCAACTGCAGCCCACAGTAAGTTGGTCACACACCTTCATCGTTCAACACTTTTTCTTCTGATTATCCTGACAGTCTGTTCTTCTGCCCTCCAGGACATTCAGGTGCACCTTGACGAGCATCCCTCAGACCCAGGCGCTACTCAACAAGGCCCGCCTCCCTCTGGGCCTCCTCCTTCACCCCTTCAGAGATTTACAGGTAGCTGCTCTTGCTCAGAGCTGGGAAGTAATTAGTTACATTTACCAGAGTAACTTTTTTTGAGAAAATGTACTTTTTGGTTACTTTTTATTTTATTATGAAGTATTGCTACTCTTACTGGATTTTCTACCCACTGAAGGAAAAATAAACACATTTTAATCAAAAATTCACCAGACACAGACACACACCTGCAGTTTTTGTTAAAGTTTTATAGTGAAAGAAACTGATTTGCAAAAATTTTTCTTTTGCCTGAAACAAATAAATTAATCAAAGAACTGTTCAAGTACGCACTCAACCACGTTTCGTTGGACGTGGAAATAAAAGCCTGTTTTGGTCGTCTGTTCATGCAGAAATAAAGGAATGTTTTTCTAAAAGATACAAAATGGAGAAAACAAGTTGAGAGGCCAGAACTTGAGCAGAAGGGTGAGTTTAACCCTTTCCCTGCTCCTCTCTGCAGCAGCTACCAGTGATCACATCCAACACGATAGTGCGGTGTCGCTCGTGTCGGACGTACATCAACCCGTTCGTCACCTTCCTGGACCAGCGCAGGTGGAAGTGTAACCTCTGTTATCGAGTCAACGATGGTAGGAAACTGTTAGGCACTGATTTCTTCATCCTTTTATATGATTTAACTAAAATCTAAGACTTCTTTTTTTTAATGTCTTGTTTAGTTCCAGATGAGTTTATGTACAACCCGGTAACAAGGTCATATGGAGAGCCTCACAAGAGGCCAGAGGTCCAAAACTCAACGGTGGAGTTCATCGCTTCCTCAGACTACATGGTAAAATTCTCCACAGCTTTCTGTTGTTGCAATGTGATTGTTTGTCCACTAGAGGGAGGTGTTGTATTTTTCTTTAAATAACTTTGAAAACACAGAAGGATCTAAGCTTTTGAGGCCACAGCTTACTTTCTGTCTTTGTCCCTGGTGTCAGCTGCGACCCCCACAGCCGGCGGTCTACCTGTTTGTGCTCGACGTGTCTCACAACGCCGTGGAGGCAGGATACCTGAAGTACTTCTGTGAATCACTTCTGGAGAACCTGGACAAGTGAGTTTGGACAACTAAATGAGATCATAGTTTGAAAACTGCATTTTGCTTTGACTCGCATTATTTTTGTGTTCTGTTAAAAACATTACATTGGGGTGTTTTCCCATTTCATAGTCCGGTACATTCTTGTTCAATTGGAGATAAAAATAGCAACATTTGTTACGTTTTCAGCTGGTGCAGTTTGCTTTTACACTGCACTGAGTCAAATGAACCAAAACCTGTTCCCCTCCTCGTCAGTGGTGGCACTGCACCAAGAACCACAGAAGGAAATGACAAAACAACTCTGAAGAAGACACAAAACATAAATGGAAACAGAGTGTTTAGCGAATGCCACTCGTTCTCTTTTGTCTTTAGTTGAAGATAACGAGCTATTTCTCCAGCTAGCGCTATCTTGCACTTTTATTTTGGTTTTAGTTACCCAGAATTCCCTGCACTTTAGTCTACTTTCTGCTTTTGGAGCGGTTTCCATTCTGCCAGGCTTTCACATATGCATTCGAGTTCACTTCAACCGAACCAAGACCAAACCAAAACCAAACTAAAGTTTGGTTTTTGGTCCACATCAGAGTTTAATTATCTATTCACTCCTCCCCAAACAAACTGGACTTTCTGGGCAAACAAACCAGAGTTTAGCAAAAGCGGATTAAACATGGCTGGTGTGAACGCACCCTTACCTTAGAAAGCTCTAATTGGAGGCTTTTACCTGAACGTTTGTTTTGTTGATGTTTTCCCGCCTAAACGATCACAGATGGAGGCTGTTTTGCGTTTCAGGTTGCCAGGAGACGCGCGCACCAAGGTGGGCTTCCTCACCTTTGACAACACCGTCCATTTTTACAACCTCCAGGAGGGACTGTCTCAGCCACAGATGCTGGTGGTGTCGGACATCGATGGTACGTCTCTTCACTCCTATTAGAAAAGAAACGTGGAGAAACTCTGTTTTAACCACTGGTTGGTTTTGTGTAATTACTGCAAATAACTGTGTTTATTTCTAAAAGATTGGTAATGATGTTATTTGACTTGATCAGGAAAATGTGTGTTGAATTTAGTGAATTAAGTTAATAAAGACCATACTTTAATATTTAAATAAACTATTAAATGCTTTACTGTTTATGTAACAATTTAATTAAAGATGTAAATACATGTATTAATTAAATATTTTAGACATATATTAAAATAATTAATTATATATTAAGTTACAAATAAATGTATGCGTAGTCCAAGACTTTTATAAAATTCTGAACTGATAAGTAATTGTATCAAAGTGTATTCATCACGTTAAAATAATCAGATAAAAAAATTAAGTATTTTTATGTAATCCTATGTTCCAGCGGATCAGAAATGTATTTTTTTTTACCTTTGATAAAATTAACTGGGCGGGACTAATAGCTTCTAACAGGGTGATTGGTTTGCATTTTTCTGACTTATTTATCGATTTGAAGCCATTTTTACCCATTTTCATGATTAATCTTTAATGTTTTTCTGTTATTCCATCTGTTTAAAGTATTTAAATTTATTGTAGATATCCGGACATTTTTGTTTTTATGGACAGAAGAAAAATGATTCCTTTTCTGGAATTTAAATTATATCATGTAGTTTGAGGTAAAAGCTAAATTACTGCCAGTCAATTTCTCCTGGAAAGAGGAAAGTGAGATCCAAGATTTGATTTAAGGAGAAGTTATAACATTTCCAGATGCTATTTTGTGTAAAACTCTTTTCTTTTAATGTCACTATAACTGTTTTTGCAGATGTTTTTATACCGTCACATGACAGTCTGATGGTGAACCTAAAGGAGAGTAAAGAGGTACTTGTCTTCATGTTTCCTTTTAGCAGTGGTGTAAAACATATGAGCATGTTGACTAACGTTCACGCCACGTGTGAGGATGTTAAAATAGATTTTCCTTCCTCAGCTTGTGAAGGAGCTGTTGACGTCGCTGCCGGCCATGTTCAGTCAGAGCAGAGAGACGCACAGCGCTCTCGGTCCCGCCTTACAGGCCGCCTTCAAGCTCATGTCGCCCACCGGCGGTCGCGTCACGCTGTTCCAGACTCAGCTTCCGACTCTGGGAGCAGGGAAGCTGCAGTCAAGAGAAGATCCGAACCAGCGTTCCAGCACCAAGGTTCATGGATTTTGATTATGGGAGAGTTTGGAAACGTTTCTGGAACCAAAGGATCTGATGCAGTGGAGACTCTGGCAACATTTGAAGGAACAACTGAATGACCTTAATGAAGGCTGCATTAATCTACTTATGAAGCTGTTTACCAGTTAGCTCTTCAGGTGTGGCTGGAGACTTCACCAAAGAGTTTGGATCCTGTCAGTTTTGGCTGAAAACATTTTTCATGTCCAAAATGGCTTTGTCCTTCCATTACAAATGTGTGCAAAACTACATCAGTATTCTGCTAATGTAAAAAAAAAAAAGCCACACACAATTTGGCAGTTTCCATTAAATAAGAGCATTAACAGCATGTGAATAAATCACTAAAAAACAAGCTGCGTCATGATACAACAGCTGCTTCCTGTCGTTGTCGTCTTCTTCGTCGTTTGCGCAGTGGCAACATCCAGGTTGTGATGCAAAAAATGTGAAACCTCATCCCAGTGACAAAACTTTTTATCAAAAAACAAATCTTGTTGTTTTTTTTTTGTTTGTTTTTTTTTTCAAAAATTGGCGTGTTTCAGTTAAGTGAATTTAGGAATGCAGGTATTTATTGTGATTAATTTAGCCTAGTCTTAACTACATACAGTCTTAAATTCCTGTAAAAGCCTTAAAATATCTTAAATTCATTAAAAACAACATAAGTTGGTCTGAAATAAGTTAACTGCATGTGTTAAATTTTGTCATGGCAGGACTTTTTAATCTCGTATGTTGTTTAATCTCGTGGGACTTTCTGTCTATCAAATATTTGAGTTGTGCGCAGACGTCTTCATTTAGTTCTGTAACTCGAGGCAGTTGAGGCTACCGCTAGTTGTACCCTTGCTAGCTAATTAGCTTTTTTTGGGTCCATCATGGGTACTTCAGTTATGTTTGACGTCACATTGCTGTCTTAGGTCCTGGATTTGGGTTTCTGAAAATCTCAAATTGAAAAACTAAATGAATTATTAGTAAAATACTTTTTGGAAATTTTCTCAAATTGTTCTCTCTTTTTGTTTTACGTTTGACTGATAACTCTTCAGGGAGCACAGCACCTGGGTCCTGCCACAGATTTCTATAAGAAGCTTGCTCTGGACTGCTCAGGGCAGCAGATTGGGGTGGATCTGTTCCTGCTCAGCTCACAGTACGCCGACCTTTCATCACTGGGTAAGAACAGGTTTGAAACTTCTGGGTTCTCATTCTTCTGTAGGATAAAAGCTTTTGGATTTCCAAATATAAAGAAATTCAAATGTTCCTCCAGATCTATTCAACTTGAGCAACCAATTTCTTTTTAATCTTGATCATTTTTTAAAAACTTCAAACTCAATTTAAATTCAGGAATGCTTTATTGATCCCAAAGCCATTGTACGGTCCATACAGCTGACCAAACATGCTCGAACTCCTTTTGGGTTGCTAGGTGATGGGCTGAACTCTGTTGGGGTTGCTAGGTGATGGGCTGAACTCTGTTGGGGTTGCTAGGTAACGGGCTGTACCCGCTGGTATGTGACATTACATTCCTGAGGTTTTTGAAACAGCTCATCTCCCAGACACCAAAAAACATTAAGTTACTGCCAAATAAGCAGCTGGGTGTTTTCTTTTCTTTTTTTTTTTTTGAAGAAGTAGAAACTCAAATGAAAGTAGAAAATTTGATTTTTGCATAATAACTCCCCTTTAAATTTCCTGAGACATGAAGAATGTTTTGAGTTTTATTATTTTTTTAAAATCAATCCTTCTCACATTCGAAGTCTAAAAATACATAATTTTTTTCAGTGTGTGTCTCCAAGTACTCGGCGGGCAGTGTCTTTTACTACCCCTCCTTTCATCACATCCACAACCCGGCGCAGCTGGAGAAGTTTCAGAGGGACCTCGATCGCTACCTCACCAGGAAGATCGGCTTCGAGGCCGTCATGAGGATACGATGCACTAAAGGTATCCCCAACAAAATGTGACACTCGTTTTGTGTTCTCAGACGTTCCTCTGAAGCCGTTCTTAAACCTAGATAATGTGGTTTCAGGTTTATCCATCCACACGTTCCACGGTAACTTCTTTGTGCGCTCCACTGACCTACTGTCCCTGGCTAATGTGAACCCAGACTCTGCCTTTGCTGTCCAGATGTCCATCGAAGACTCTCTTGCTGATTCGTCTCTGGCCTGTTTTCAGGCTGCTCTGCTCTACACGTCCAGTAAAGGTAAACCCAAATTCAGCACCTAAAAAAACTGACTGTTCTCTCATACAATAAATAATAGAAATAAAAGTAATCTTGTTATAATTTGTCGGTGTGAAGGGAAACGGCGGATCAGAGTCCACACTCTGTGTCTGCCGGTGGTCAGTCAGCTGAGCGATGTTTACGCCGGCGCTGACGTTCAGGCTATCACATGTCTGCTAGCCAACATGGGTGAGTTCACAACTTTTACCACTTTAACTTGCATTGTTTTACTGAAAATTATCTAATTTCTAAAGATTTTAGAAATGCATTTATTTCTGGGTCGGTATGGGTGCTTAAAATCCTTGAAAATGCTTCAATTTCAATCAGGTGTTTTCAAGGCTTGAAAGGTATTTTGATATTTAAACTGCACAGTTTTGTAGTTCAATACTTGATTAAAACCTAAATTTGGGAAGCGTTATTTACAGTTGAAACCAGGTATTTTTATACACCGAACAAAAAGAAACCTGTAATTTTTTTTCTTACTACCTGAAGTTAAATCAGACTAAACTTCTCTTAGAATTAGAATTACCAAAATTATTCCTATTTGCTAAATGCCAAAAACCTAGCAGAAACATTTTTTACTTTATTTTTGAATATTTATTATTCCTAATGGCTCAGTGACTTTTTCATCTGTGTAACTGAAGTAAAGATTCCCTCATTATTTTTAGACAAAGTCTTTGAAATTGTGGGATATTTTTTGTTAAATTTGTTAAAAACACAAAAATTGCTATATTTTAGTTCACGTTGTCCCACTGTAGAATTTCGAATTCTATCACAAGACATTATTAATAACAGTAATAAATTATCTGTATTGCATGTTTTATCTCCACTGTGAAAACTTGCCTTGAAAATGCTTGAATTTTGCAGTGGGAGTTTTCAGTCATTATTGCAGGTGTTGGTTCCCCTCCTGTTTTATAATTGATCTTTCCTGTGTGTTCCAGCCATCGATCGATCGATATCTTCCAGCCTGTCAGATGCTCGTGATGCTCTGGTGAACGCCGTCGTGGATTTTGTGAGCGCCTACAAAAGCAGCGTGTCGAACCTGCAGCAGTCTGGGGTCGTCGTCCCTGCAGCCATGAGACTTTTCCCCCTCTACATCCTGGCTCTGCTCAAACAGGTGGGAGTTAGAGCAGAAACGATTAATCGTGATTAATTGATTAAGGAAGTAACTGTCACCAAATTTACAAATCAATTAATTATTAACTGGAAAATACACATTCAGAAAAGGCAATTTGCTGAAAAATAACATATCCGGAGCAGTAATTAAGCAAAAAATATACATTTTGCATTTAAGATGGAGAAAAACAACTTTGTAAACTACAGTAGTTTTAGCTTCCACTGATTCAAATTGACTAAAGGAAAATGTTTTTCTTATTTAGAAATGAATTGAATTACTTATTTCCGTCTTTTAATGTATTTCTAATATTTTATAAAAACTGATTTAAATGGTTAAATGACAAATCTGTAAAATGGGCCATTATTTTTATTCGATTAATCGTCAGAATAATTGATAGATTAATCAATTATTAAAAGAAGTTAAACTCTGGAGAATTATTCAAAGGTAGATTTTCTTTTATAAAATGTGAAAAACTTGTTTTTCAGGTAATTTTTTGAATTCTTTGAAACAATTATGGGGAAGTGCTTTTAAACACTTTTTGTAAAATCATTCATCTCCGTTAACTCTGTAAAACCTAAACAGTAAATGTGGATTTGTGGCTCCTGATTCATAATTACACGCTTTTTGCTTTAATAAATACGATTAACATAGAAAAAGTGAAATTCAGAAAAACAAAAACAGAAAAAAGTGGAATTTTGCAAATAATGAAACAGATTTTGTTTCTACACAACCCTGGAAACATACAGCGTTGTCATAAAAAAGATCACCTGTGCTATGGATAGCACATTATGTTTCTAAAATTAAAATGTTCAACATGGTGCTGATTAAAGTCAATCTACTAATTTATGACAGATATTTAATCCACCACTTAAACCAGAGAAACCCCTTCATCAGTCAGTCCAGTCCCTGATCAATCTATCAAATTTTCCAATTTATCCATTGAATATCTCCATCTTTCAATACGCCCCTCTAATATCCTTCAATACATTCATTAATCCAGCTGTCTGTCCTTCCATCCATCCATTTGTTAAATGCACACATCTGTTCATCCAGACGACTTTCCATTCCACTCATCCTTCCATCACTCCTAAACATTAACATAACCAACATCGGAGAAATTAATTGCTGAAGACATTTCCCGGTTTGTTCCAGAAAGCGCTGCGGACAGGAACGAGCACGCGGCTCGATGAGCGCATCTTCGCCATGTGTGAGTTCAAGACGCAGCCGCTGCCGCAGCTGATGCGGATGCTTCATCCTGACCTGTACCAGCTGGATAACATGTCTGACCAGGTGGGATGTTTAACTAACTAAAACATATTCACATATCGCCGTGTTTAAAAATTTGTATTCCCACGATTCAGGTTGATTGATACACAAGAAATGGAAAGTTGACAAACTGTTATATACATGTTTTCACTCAGAGAAGTCAGTCTCTATTTTACACATTTATCATTATGATTGTAGACTTGTTGTCTCTTTACTCTGTTACATTAAGTGAAACGTTTTTGTGTGTCCTGCAGGGGGCGCTCCATCTGAATGATACTGTAGTTCCTCAGCCTCACCTGTTGCATCTTTCTGCTGAGAGGCTCAGCAGAGATGGAGCGTTCCTCATGGACTGTGGCAACGTAAGTAAAGGTTGTTTCTCTGGGAATCCATCTTCCTGAGTTGTACCTTCAACCACCTCACATTTAATTAGGTTCTCTAGTTTTGTCTTTTCTTTTCTAGTTTTTCTTATTTTCACATTTCTTGCTCGCACATAAGTATTTTATAAAGCCTTAGGAAAATAAGCCTTTATTTAATTTTTTGTTTTTTGTTTTTGCTCAATTATGCAAATCTTCTCTTCATGTTCTGCTTCAGTTTTCTGCAGAACTGCTTCAGGACTTTTTCAAATGAACCTGTTCAAATTTTCTAAAAAAGAAAATCTATTCCTCTTCTTTTGCGATCCAGTTATTAACTGGTTAATCCAAAAAAATAGTCAACAGATCAGCCCTAATCAGAGGTATTTTTTGCTGCAAATGATCAGTTGTTCACTGAAGGAATGTTATTTTGTTGCATTTTAGGTAATAAAATAGTTTCAGATTTAAAAAGGGAATTTAATTATTTCTTTATTCATATTTCTAATGTATTTCTAATATTGTATAAAATAGGCTTAAATGAAAAATCTGCAGAATATGCCGGTTTTTGTATCCGATTAATCGTCAGAATAACCGATTAATCGATAACTTAAATAACTCTATCATTATTATTTCTGATTTTTGTCGATTACCTTCTGTCTCTCCAGGTGTTTTATCTGTGGATCAGCAAATGCTGCAACGAAACGTTTATCCGTGATGTTCTGGGCTGCTCCAGCTACGCTTCAATTCCCCCCAACATGGTCAGTATGAGCTGGACAAGCAAAATACACACAAAAACTGCAGGATATTAGCATCGTATGAACTCTTTCTGCAGCTCACTGGTGCAATTCATCATTTCTCTAAAATGACTGATTTGCTTTTTTTTCTGTTTGCCTTGTGAAATAAAACAACTCATACAGCAAAACAGATTTGCTGGTGAAGCTTTTCAGATTTTTTTTTTAACTACCTAGAAAGTTCAACCATCACTGCATGGTGGGTGTGATGGAAACACCCAGAATAAACAACAAATGTCAGCCTCTGCGTTTTTTATTTCTGTAACAATGGGGCGATTACTCCCAGCGCTACCTACACGCCCGCTCTTCCATCCACAGGAATGCGTCTGTTGACTCCATTGTGTAACTTGGATAACGGGGGGAATCCACATTGTCTGAAACATAGTAAGAACAGTGTTGGCTGATGTTTTGGTTGTCCTCTCTCTGTCCCTGTCACGCTCAGAGTCACATTCCTGAGCTGCAGACTCCTCTGTCGGAAAGAGTCCGAGCGTTTCTCGACTGGCTGCAGGACAACAGAGCGTTCAGCTCTCCGATCCACATCATCAAGTAAGCAGAACCGGAGTCACATGCCACTGATGCTACTTTCTGACCCACATAAATGAGGGCGTTTATTAAAAAGTTTCCTCATTAAATGTGCTTTTATTTTGCTTTTTCTTATTTCAAAATATATTTTTGTACCACTTGCTGACCAAGGTGCAAAAGTATTCATACCTCTCAAATGTCTTAAAGTTTTTGTTACAATCTCAAGCCTCATCCCACTATGCACAAAAATTAATGCCTGTTTGGAAAGTAGAACGAAAATATCTTGTTTCTAAAAAGTGTGACCCCCAAATTGTATAGAACCACCTTCCATTGTAGGACTGAAACGATTAATCATAATTAATCGATTATTGGAATAATCGTCAATCAATATGGTGATTCAGTCGTTAACTGGACTATGCAGACTCAAAAACAAAAGTAATTTGATGAAAAACATATTCAGAGCAATAAATAAACCAAAACTTATA